GTGCGGACCGACACCTGTATCTCCCCGACACGGACTATGCGGTGCGGCACGAGTGAAGGTCCTGATGTAGCAGGACAAAGAAAGGGTTGGGAATAATTCAGCATGGGTTGGGCTGATACGGACTTGTCATGACATAAACAAGCCATGAAATCAGGGAGGGACTTGCAGGCTAGACGTCACTCGGCCCTGTACACTAGATAATCGGAATAATGACGATGGAGTTTTTCCGAATTCACCTGGGGAACTGGTCGTGATCCACCATGTGAGCGGAACGGGAGCGGCATCTAGAGCGGGCCGCGTAGTCTGCGTCGGATCTTGAGAGAATCCGAGCATCAGGGCGAATAGCAAGAGTTTGCTCAAGGATACGGCAGTGGAAGGGATCCTTTGAGCGCACTGAAGTGCAGATTCAGTATCAAACGTCCAGGACAAGGGCTTAACGGAAGAGAAGAAGACGGGAAAAGACCGATCTCTCGCTGAAGCTAGAGACGCATCCACGGCCGAGGATCGATCCCAAGAATGGTTCACCGCTCTTCTAGAAAGAGGCTTTGGGCGCGAGGACGAGAATGGCACATGGAGGCGTGCATAAGAGGGTGGGTTGAGGCGGCGAATGGGAGGCCGGCGAGGAATAGACACGCGGACACGAAGAGCCTGCCCGCCCAGTGATGTAAGTAAGATTAGGAGTTGAGATGAACAAGTCCCATGTGCTGCAGGCACAATTGCTGTGTGGTTGATAGGAACGCTCGGGCTTGTTTGCCTTGACGATATGAGGCTGGCTTTTCAGCGGTGAGATTGTCGCATGAATCAGCATAGTATTTTCTGCGGCAGTTCGGTATCAGGACCAAGGCCGATCACTCGCCTTGCCGCAAAAGTGAGGCAGCTGAATAGGGCACGTGTGGGCACATGGGACGGAGCCGTGGCGAGGAAGATCACTTTGTGGGAGGATTTGGGGGGCGTTACTAGGGGCCGAGGGTTGGGCATTTGCCTGGCATTGTTGGGCAACCACGATCATGTCGCTGATTCCGTGCATTGAGCGCAATCGCGAGCCTGGCTCCAAAGAGGTTACAGTGCAGGATCGTGTTCTCCCACAGCCATGCTTGTTCGACTGTCTTGGATACAGTGGAGACTCTTGCGCAGGGGAAGATGAGCTTTTTATTTTATTTTATTTTTTTCCTCATTGTCGTTGTAGTTCTTGACAGATGCTTCGAGAACGAAGGGGGTCAATCGGTCCAGTCCGTGGGTGATGATGGAGGGCATGTTGGTGATAGTCAATGGTGTTGAAACCGGACCCTTGCTCACATGCAGGGGATATATAGCCGGATATACCTGGGCGTCCACTCTCCGTTCAAGAGCTTATCAACTCGACACAATGTCAGTTGATTATTCTCCGGGGCGCAGTCCAACAGGTTGTAACCATAATTCTTGGTTGCATATCGTCAAATGTTCCCATCAGAGACATGAAAAGGACCAACTCCATGTCAACGGTAACTTCTCCGGGCCGCGGATGGTTGGCAGTCGGATCCGGCGCTCGCTTGCAGGCAAGGTACCGGGACTCGTACCCCGAATTTCGGCCGTCTCCAGGTGCGCGCCTCCCCCTCCCTCCCTCCCCCAACCCCCGTCCCAGACTCGAGGGGAATCTGCCCACGTGCGACAGGGCTTGGCTGCGGTTTGGGCTTGGCTTTTCGGGGGAGCTGGGGAGATGGGGGCGTGGTCAGGCGGTTCAGGATGCCTTACGGGGCGGGGCGTCTCTTCGATCCGATAGCTTCGTAGTTGAAACTCGATAGAGTGAGGATGTGTATATTGTAGAGTTTTGAGAAGTCGATGTTTCATGAACAAATAGGTGTGGTATTGAGCCTGAGAGTTGAGTTGCTTGTAAAACTCAAGTTACATTCTTGTCAGGCACCTGGCGAATCAGGTAGGCGTTCCCTCGGACTCTGAGTGATTTTGGGTGTCAACTACGTACCTCTAGAGGAATGGATCCGTAAACCTCCATTGGGCGGATTCCCCTGAACATCTGGCCCATTGTTTAATATAAGCGAAAGGACAGAAGATGCTAGGTATGGATGGTCTTTATTTCGACTTTCGTAAGGGGTTTCGTGTATTGCGTGTGTATTTGTTTGGGCAGGAGTGCCCAAGCAAGGAAGGAAGCGACGCGATAGGACAGGTTGAAGCAATCGAGAAGCGAAGCAATCAACATGGAAGGAACGAACTGGGCCCGCGACATGAGTCAACATCTCTGTCCCAAGCTTCGATAGCTTCGCATTTCCTCCTCCGCCAACTGTGCATATCGCAATCCCCACGTTGTCACCTCCTTTCCTACGTTCAGCAGCTTCACTAAGCCTTACTTTACGTACCCTAAGACGTGATTATCGTCCACTCTCGAGCTGTTGATCAACTCGTCTCCATTTCAACTCCACCGCGGAGAGCTCGAGCCACAATCGACAGGCCACTTGCCAGACCTGGACCCAGATTCAGATCCAGACCAGTCTCAGCGGACGGGCCGTACGAGTGCCCAAGCAGGGCGGGACCAACCTGCTTTCGTCGACCGAGACCTACTGTCACCCGAAGCCGTGTCATTCGATTCGTTGCCGCTCCCACCTCGAGGTTGGACTGAGGTCTCGCGGCTGGCGCTCGTGGCCGACTTCAGGCGCCAGCAGTGGATGTCTCTGGAGCTGGAGAATCTCACCAGGCCAGTTCAACTGCTAATGCCGCGTTCGACCGCCATTTCTCAGCGGGATCCCGCTCCGTAGACTATCTGACTGCCGGCCCGTGCTCATGACGGCAGAGCCCAACCGTCGACGGCTTTCATCCAGTTGCATTCTTCAACTCCAAACCGCTTTCAAGCCTCCTGCACGACGAGACCAAGCGCAGACGCCTCAGCAGAACCAGCTTCAACGCTCGTCCTAGCTGCCGCTGTTCCTGAGAGCTGCATCTCCGCGTCGTGCCATTTCTCTTAAAAGCGCTGATCGGAGGCAGCTCTGGATCTGTTCCCCGCCACACCACTCCGCTCCGCTCCTCGCCTCTCGCCGTCGCCGACGCCTTCGCCGGAACACGCGCACACACGCACGCGCACAACTGGCGCCAATTTGCTGACTGTTGGCCCTTTGGATCGCGCTTCACTCGGAGGCCAATTGTATCCGGTCCGTTGGCAACTATTAACCTTGCGACAACTCTGAGAGGCTCTTTTCGGGCATTTCGCACTTTACACCCACATCATATCGGATCGTATTTCGACTCGCATTGCATCTGCCAGCATAACTCAGACTTGCTTCCTTTTTGTTAGCTGTGCTTCATTTGGACCTTACGAGCGCCTGCACTTTTAGATACACGAGGACTTTGGTAAGTGAATTTATTCCTTTGTGTTGATCTCGGGGCTCCATCTTGCGGCCGTCCTCGTCTATCCCTCCATGCTTTTCCAACCAACTTCCTTATCCTTATCGACACGACATGGCTGCGTATGTCGTCATCCCCTCCTGGTTCGACTTCTCGGTTCTCGAAATGCAGTGTCGAATCGCAGCGCTGAGAGAAGGCGGATGAGGGCATAAAATGTCGCAGAGACGCAGACAGCCGATGATGGACAGTTACACTGTTTGAGGCAGGAGAGTCAAGGATCGAGTCAGCTCCTGGAACGAATGTGCGGATACATGTGCATTTGCTGGAAAGGGTGGTGACGTCGTCAGCCTGCGTTCTGTCAGGATGCGATTTCACAACGCCACAGCATTGCCTTGGCTGTATCCTGTGTAACGCCTCAGTTCACAGTTGCGTCGACAAGGACAGGACCGCTACAACGAGTCTACATGTCTCCCACCGCCTCGGTCACCCAAGCTCGATTAGCATGGAACTTGGTTGAAGCACGCGCCATGATGCTCGCTGCCCATGAAGAGGAACAGCTTATCGACATGGAAGATTGTCTTGGACATTCTTGAGACGGGATGATCGACGACGGATGACACCTCACCCCACTCGAGAATTCCTTCTCCCTTCCACCACAGATTCTACGAGGGAATAAAGACGAACGAACCCAGTTTGTCCGGGACATTGGACACCCTCAGGAAACTCGGAAAAAGAAAGGACAGCGAAAAACTCTCAAGAACCCTGAAGGGGGCTTGACAGGCTGGGAAGATGCACCAATCAGATGGGTGACATCCAACACCGAGTCAACTCGTCCATGTTGATTGTCGTCCTTCCCGAGTTTTTGTCGGAGAGCCTGAGTCGGCGCAGCACCAATTTCCAGGGGCGCCGGCTCCCAAGACGTCGAGCCTCGCCCCCACCATCCGCTCGGCCACCCCCTCCAGCCAGCACATGGTACCCGCTGGCTCACCCACGAGGGCTGAGGGGCGACTGCTGAGGGACCTCTGGTGCGTGTTGCTAGGCGTTCGGGTGCTGGGCCACTCTGGGATGAGCCAGTCACCACCAGGTGCTGGACGCCCGCCCACTGGACGACACCCACTGGACCACTCAACCGCTCGCTAGTCATCATCCACCGCCGCACCAGGCTGACCTTGCCTCTCCTCCTCATCTGGCTCCCATCTCTTGCCTGTCGCCTGTCCCTCCTCAGCCTCCAAGTCCAAGTCTGGCTTGTCCCGGTCACTTTTGCTCCACCGGGCCGATCCTATCCCCTCCTCTTCTCTGCCCCCTCCATCTTGGTCTTGATCTTCATTTTGATCTGTCAAGTCGACTTGGCCATAACCATCGTCATCACCTTGGTTTCTTCGCCTTGACCCGTTCTCCTCTTCCCCGCCGACCGACACCACCACCTTGCAACATCACCGTTCCTGGACCTCGAGAGCTAATAATACCCTTCTTTACTCTCCTGCAGTACAGATACCGTTTGCGATATCCTTTTCCTCACTCTCTTCGAGACCAGCGACGACACGCGATACCCCTCTGTTTATTCATCCTAATCTGCATCCCCGCCTCCACCACGATATCTGTCGCCAGATAGCTATGTTATGGCCGCTGTGATCGGCGACTTCGTTTCGGATACCTCATATTTCCATACCATGATTGCCAACCCCTCTCTCCAACATCAACACTCTCACGACTCGTCCTCATCTTATCGCTCCGTTAGCCGATCGCGACATTCTGCTACCCCGCGAGCCCAACGCACAGATCCCACTGCCGACTTCAGCAACCACAGCAACAACCCCGCGACGACGTGGTCATCCACACCCGCATCCGCTTCAGTGTCGGGGTCTACGCCCGTGCCTGCGGGCCACGGTGCTGCCCACGTGTCGGCAAGCGGCGGAGCCTCACGGTTCCCTTCCCCTCCCCCGTCATCATCGCCATCCGCTGTTACCGGCCCTGCTCCCGCCGATAATGCAAAGACCTCGTCTATGGCATCCGACGCGAGGGACTCTGGTCCCCTAGGTCACGAACCGCGATCCGGCCCAACCCCCACTAACCCTGCTGCCCAGCAGCCTTCTCCTGCTTCGGACGACTTTCAAATACCAAACCCCTCGTATCCTCTCTCAAGCGCATCATCCCAAGTGCCGGAGCAGACTGTTATTCACATTCGTGACCTTGCACATATTCAGAGCCTGGCTAGTGCCGACTTGCTGTCTGGCAATGGCAGCTCTGGTATTCTCAACGACCCTCCACTTCAGCAGATGAAGTACGAAATCAGTGGGATGCCTATCGGCGACATCATCGAGATGGTTGCTGCGCTCCTTACCAAGATCACCACCACCAATGACCTACAGCATGATGCGATGCAGCGTAATGTTGCGCATCAGCAGCAAGCCAACCAGTCCAGCGACACGAGCGGCAGCTCAATCTCGTCCTTGAACCACTCGGTTCTTGCTTTCCATGGCAAGAATGTCCCCGCCATCACCATCCTCAGCTACCTGTCGCGAATACACAAGTACTGCCCTACCACGTATGAGGTATTCCTCAGTCTACTGGTCTACTTTGACCGCATGACAGAACGTGTTAACGACATGGTGATGAAGAGCGAGGAGGCGCGAAGGCAAACAGAGTCTCGTCAAGCGGCCTCAGCGGCCCCCCAAGACACTCCCATGCGTGATGAGGACTCGGACGAGAGTGACTCAGATCTGGCGGATGACGATGACGAGGAAATGGTTGACTCTAGCCGGCCCAGCCGTCAGAGCAGCAACAGGGGGACATCTGCCTCAAACGACCACGCTGCTATGGCAGCTGCGACATATTTCGTTGTCGACAGCTTCAACATCCACCGTCTGATTATCTCGGGAGTGACATGCGCAAGCAAGTTCTTCTCTGACGTCTTTTACACCAATTCGAGATATGCTAAGGTTTGTGCCAAGCCAGTTTCTGGTTGGATCTTTGTGTGCTAACATGGCGGTACCAGGTCGGCGGACTGCCGCTTGTTGAACTGAACCACCTTGAGCTCCAATTTCTGCTCCTCAACGATTTCAGACTCGCCGTTCCAGTGGAAGACCTGGAGGCGTACGCGACTATGCTGGTCGAGTTTTATGCTCGTGAGGTGGTGGCCAAGAAGGCAGCAGCTGGGGCTGCCGAATGAAGGGGCTCATAGCTTAAGGGTCCAAGAGACGGTTAACCCTGCAGAGCTCCTTTTACTGATGATGGCCTGATATCGACCCGCCTGCGCCACCGGATTTTGATAAACCGGTATCGACAAGGGACGGGAGGGCCCGACTTGAGGTGAAACACTTCTCAGGTTGGTTACCCAGGGCCAGGGTGGCCTCTCTCCACGCCACAGGTGCGGCAGCGTGGACCGGGGCTATCTCAAGTTTTGGCTATTAATAGAGCTGATACGTATGGACGACATGGGAAATGCGGACTGGAAACCCGTGTGGATGGACGGATGGGCATGGAAAGGACTGCAAGGGGCGTATGGGCCTAGGGAGGCGAGGCGTTCTCGATGGGCTCTTGAAGTGCTCCGAGTGGTGTGTATGACTTGGCTGACCTTTATTAATGACTTGACGGACGACCTGGACGGGCGAGCAGTGGGCTACCCGATGAACTTGTCTTTGCTGCTTAGACTGGGGCTCTTTCTTGTTACACAGGCAGGTTGAAGAGGCGACGGAGGCAACCCGTTGGCCGAGGGGATGGGGTTGAAGATGGATCTTGGCGTGCACAGGAGTTCAGGGCGTTCTGGTAAAGAGGCATTTGCTTTAACTTGGTATGGATCTGTACGAGCTCACTCTACTTGTGCGAACCCTCAACAAGATAGACAAGATTGGACCATTCAGGAGTGTTTGCTCACATGGACTGTGCTTAGACGAAACGAAACGATATGAGTGTACTGCTATTTACTGAGTGGATCCGGGGGCATCCCACGTCTCGGGGTGGTCAAAGATGGTGACAGCGTCCTTCATCTTGAATCCAAAATGCCACTTTCCCCAGCCGGGCCAGAAGTTGTCAAACTCACTCGTCGAGCGGCCCTCACTGTCCCGGTGCTGGGTCAGATCAAACCAGCCGACACTGCACCGGGAACTCCACTGGTGGGGCACAACGGCGCACCACCGATCGGTGCCCGGGAGCTCACCCTGGGTACCGTCACCGGCGGGGAGTGGAGGCAGGACCAAGGTCGACTCAATGCCGATGTAGTTGGACCAGTTTGTCTGGAAGGGGAACGAAGGGGCGAACCGGAGCGGTTTGAACGTTGCTTGGAAGAAAGGTGTTGCGCTTGGGGTCGACGACTCGGTGGCAGAGTCCAAGTCGTGAGGGTATACCTTGATAGTGGTTGAGCCGTCGGAGTTTTCGGTCCAGTCGAAGTGGGCAAGATGCTTGGGAACGTTCCAGTCTAATACATCGTTAGTTGCAGTGTCATGCATTTAGAGAGATGACTGACTCTTTCTCCCGTTGTAACAAGTATGCTTCTGCGAAACATAAATCCTAGTAATCCTCGGATTCCTCCTCTTAACCCTCCTCCCATCCTTATCCTCCCTCTCATACTCGAACCCACCCGGCGCGAGAATCATTTCATCATACGGACCCACGGGCGAGTCTGTATACCGGATGAACTGCACCATGCTGACGCCGCCGACGTGTCTGCCGGATTCTGACGAGGAAGCGTAGGCGGACTCACCCTCGAGGGGTGAGTATGCCAGTGAGGGGAGATTCTGGGGATCTTGTGATGCCGAGGTCCAGAATGGAAAGGCGTAGACGTCGCCTTTGAGCGTCCATGGAGGGGGTACAGATGGGATGCGATCTTTGGAAGCCATGGTTGTTGAGTTTGTTCAAGTTGGTAGAGTCAGCTACTACCGCGCGTATGTGTATATATATATCAACAGCATCTGACATAAGAAGAGGATTATGATGGTTACAACGGTGGCGTTTTATGCTGGCACCTCCAAGAAACCCCGACGGACACTTTTTGGGGGTTACCCCCTCATCAACTATTCCGTGCCGCAGTCAACCATCCCATCCCTGGTTGCTATTAGTGACGAGCAAAGCTAAATGAGGGGCGGGCAGGCTTTGTAGTGAAATGTTCCTGCCAAGTATTTTACTACTACTTGTACGGGATATGTGAGACATTGTCTGAAGATATGACGTCCTTGTGCATCGTATCGATCAGCCACACCCGAGATACTCAAGACATAGGCTCCCGTATGGTGATAGTCTCTTGGCAACAGGCAACCCGCCAGTACAGGTTCATAATACTTGTCTATCAGCATTCTTTTCGTATCAAAGAGTCAAGTATTGGTACATAATGGAATCCCATGATTTTACGATTGAGGACGTTCCCCCAAGGACGCTTCTTTATTATTGTATTCATGATCATCTTGCGATTATAACAAACATGGCCATCCCCTATAATGGCACGGCCTAACAAATAGTAAAAGTTGCCAGTGAATTTGATAGAAATCTTGAACAAATAACACTACCTATATAACGCCACATTAAACACACAAAAACTAACACAACGACTTTTCAGGCCAAAACTTCATCCTGCATACCAAGGAACATTGCTCTGGTAGACTCCCCTTCTCTGGCACCATCATCTCCCCACTGTTGATGGTAATGTGCAACCCTTCTAGCTCATAGACATCGACCTCTATGTCTTGGCCCCCAAGCACCGCAAACTGTAGCCTTTCTTCTAGAAAAGGCACCACATGCTTTGGATCCAGGCTGGGGATCTCTCCTGCTCCCACCAACTTCACCAGTGCCGCTGTCAGAGGTGACGATCCAGCCATCATCGACCTCGAACCCGTTTGGTGACGAGTTCCCATGAATGTGACCTTGGCAGCTCGGTTCCTGGCAGTAAGCCATTGGCTGGCATCTATTGGTGGTGGCCCAATAAAGAAGAGAAGCTGGAAGTTGCCTGCGAACGCTTCGATATTGACTCGCGCGTTAATAACCCAATCCATGTATCGCCCATTCCTGATAACTGCTGAGGCTGGTGGATCTGGAGCATTTTCTGTGACATCGGGTCTGATACTACTCAGGTGCACACTCCTCGCCTTGTCATGTCGCTTTTCTTGCGCTGGACTCTGAGTGTGTTGACTTCGTTCCAGCGCCGCGATCCAGCCCCTATCTCCGTACCACTCCGTGATTTTCCTCGTCAACTCGTCACGAAGTTCGTCCTCCTTCTTCCCTGAAGAGTCCGTGTCGGCATAAGAATACCCAAAGGCTTCCGTGGTCCTTGCCATGTCCGAGTTCCAGAACGTGCCATCCTCTGTGGCAAAGAATGGGGTCAGCGGAGTTGTAGAATCTTGCATTTCGCCCGCAATAGATGTAAAAGTAGTTTCACCAGATGGCATCGGGGTCATCCACGCGTCTGGATTGAGTATCTGCCACATGGCCAACAGCCGATCTGTCATGGTGTGGTGAAGAATGAATAGAGGATCAAACGAAGATACGGGTACATATGTCATGTGTCCCTTAAGCCCACCATTGATGTGAATAATGTCGTGGATTGATTCGATCGAGTCCGCCGCTGAAACATTGTCAGTTATTGACCATACCTTGGTCCCGAAGTCGTTGAAGTTTTTCGAATTGGAGAAGAGGCCAAGTAGACGCTGCTGAATCTCGGGCAACGCTGTGAGAAGGGCAGCATTGACCAGGCTGTTGTTCGATGGAGGAGCGTTTTCGCTGATATTCACATTTGGAGCTCTCTTTGTCTCATCCCAGGTATTGAGCTACCTTTTGTTAGCTGCGTTGATCTTATTGGCGACTCAGTTCTTACAGGGGTCCAGATGAATGCTTCTTCATCTTTTGGGTGAAAGTAGTATGAATATAGAGGATTTCTGACGAGCTGAATACCTCGAGGACCGTATTGAGAAATGGTAGCGTTCCAAAAAACTCCGGGGAAATGCTCATCCCCTTCAGGGGCTTCCAACGACCAATCCCAGTACGGCATGCGAAAGCTACGGGCAGCGTCTTGATATGCTTGTCGCTCTGTCCCATTAGGAAACATGCTGGCAATGGTATTGGCTTTTTGGTATAGTTCTTGCTGTCAAGAGTGTAAGTAACGGTGATGAACTAACTGGGGAATGCCTACCTCGAAGAGGGCGAGATATGGGCGATGCCATGTGGAAAACAGAACTGAGCTGTGCATGCAGTATCCAGACATGTTGCCCCCCTCTACAGACTCGACACCGCTCCATGCTTCAAAGGGAACACCGTGGATTCCTACTCGCGGACACAAACACAGATGCAGGTTAGCATAGCCTCTAGACATTGTTATATCCGAAACAGTGTCACGTACCGGCAATCTGGTACCACGACCTGGGATCGTCCTGACTAGTGTACTGCAACATACTCAGGGCCAGAATGAACAAGTCCCATTTGTAGCGGTCGGCCTTCATCTCTCGAATCTCGTATCTCAGGGGCATTGTGCCATTGCGAATTATCGGGAGCGGCTTGATGACCACGCGATCACTGGTGTCTTGCCTTCGAGTCAGGGATTGGATGTCGGCGCCGTAATTGTATGGCTGTGCTGTAGCGAGGATGCCAAAGAGGCCCCCAAGGAGGAGAATGCCACGCATGGCTGATGTGTAATTGGGAGGTAAGGAGTCAAGTTGGGAGAATTGAAGAGTGTGGAATTAAGGGGCAGACAAGAGAGTAGAAAAGGAGCGATATCGAGCTGGGATTCCCCCCTTCCAATGAGTGAAACAAAAAGGGCCAAGACAAAGGCACTACTCTTCCAGTGAAAGTTGAAGTCGAGGTGCACGAGGTTTGAGAGCAGAAGCCCAATGCGTATAGGTCGAGTTGGGGATGGGACCAGCTCAGTTGAGGCCTCTTCTGCTGACTTAAGCAGAAGACTTTTCTCGATGAAGATAAAAGAAAAGGAAAGAGACAGAGAGAGAAGGAGCAGAGATGAGAAGCACGGGATGTTGGAGCGCACTGCTGATTTCACTCGGCCTTGTTGGCGGGAAGGTGCAGCCCGTCCCTCAAAGGCGGTGCCGCGGAAGGAGGTTAAGCTGGTACTTGCACCACCACTGATGAACGGATTTTGCTTGGAAATAAATGAAGATTGACTGAATCAAGGGGGTAGAGAGACTGGTATATATACACTTTAGAACGGCGGTGTGTGCTCGACAACTTGTCACCGCCGATGACTTGGTTGAGGAGCTGTCACTGGAGATACGATACTATACGATGATTCTCTTCAAGGTGATACCAGGGCTTACGGACACTAGAGTGATGAGATGGCAGCCAAGGAGACTCGCAAACAAGGAGAAAAGAAACGCAAATGCAGAAACGTAGGAGCAGCAACGAGCCATTTGATATCCACCTCACCTCATCCACGCAGCCACCCATCGTCCTCTACAAGGTACACCTCCAGGTAAAGTAGCATAGCACAAGACGGCTTGTTACATGCTTCTCCTCCCCAAGACTTCGCAAACCCTCTCTCTTCTCCCTCAACCGCTATTCGCCATCCCGACGGCTGCTTGCAGCTGCCCTACACGCTCCGTGCAACCTCATTTCCCAGAACACAAACCACAAACCTGCCCCCCTTTGACCTCCACGTTTTCTCATGCGCCCGTTTGCTCGTGGCCGACCGAGCTGTGAACGGTTGGTCTTCGGTTCCGTTGTTCTATGCTGTCCCCTGCTTAACATGGCACGGGAGAGTCAGATTTGGTGGCAGAAGAGCGTCATTTTTTCTCGGCTTGATGACTTGTTGGTTTTTGTTTGAAGATGAGACACACGCTGAGTAACTAGGGGGATCTGAGACGAGGTCGACAGCGTATCAATGAGTGCCAACTCTTGGTGCCTCGATATCCCCTAAGCCAACTTCAGAAGGAACTTAGACTCGCACTGAATCATCATCACAAGGAAGACAGAGGCCTCCAGTTTGGTAAATAATCGTGGTATTGACATGCCATGCTGTACAGTCGTAAAACGCACCCCCTTCTATCAACCCCCTGAGGCAAATGTATGGAATAGGTAGCTCCCCAACAAAAAATGATCAAATTAGCATAAAAAACATACACATCTATTTTCCAACCCGAACTCCATCCAACGACATGGGCCTCATCGGCCCCTTGCGAGGCTCGTCGGCGCGGTCCACGCGGTACTTGAGCTTGATGCCCATGGCTGCCAGCTCGACGTCGAGGTACTTGAGAGCACCGGGGACAACAACCTGCGTCGTGTGATCACCACCAACCCAAGAGTTGCCCTGACCGTCCTCCCAGATCTCGCCCTGGATCTCGGTGAGGTCGATGCCCTCGGCGTCGTCCAGCTTGACGGCGCAGTTGCGGCATCGCACGATGCTGGCCGCCTTCTTCTTGCCCGGTGCAAACTGCGACACGGTGGGCTGCACAGAGAGGAACGAACCGCAGCGGCGGCAGATCCACGACTTGGAATAATCCGAACAGTTGAGGAGACGATCCTGGAGCAAAAAGGCCGTTCCGTGAGCCAACAACGCATCACGCTCCATTTCTCCCACACGGATACCACCACCCCTCTTTCGGCCCTTGATGGGCTGGCCTGTTGTCGGCACCACTGGACCAGTGGTTCGCACCTGGTACTTATCGTTGACCATGTGTCGCAGACGCTGGTAGTAGACAACTCCGATGTAGATGTCAGCTGCGAGCTCCTCTCCCGTGATGCCCGAGTACATGGGCTCATTGCCGTGGTAGTTGTACCCGGCCTTCATCAGCTGGTGGCCAAAATAGTCCGCCGCAGTGTTCTCCTCGTCAAACTTGAACGGTGTCGAGTCTTGCGCAAGGCCATGCAGCGCGCCAGCCTTGCCGGCGAGCGATTCCACAAACATGCCTATCGTCATACGGGAAGGGAAAGCGTGGGGGTTAATGATAATGTCCGGTTGGATGCCAGTCTCCGAGAAGGGCAGATCCACCGTTGGCCACTTTTGCGAGGCGACACCCTTCTGTCCGTGTCTGGACGAGAACTTGTCACCGATGATGGGGGATCGGGGAACACGGAACTTGACAGAGATGGTCTGCAGAGGCTCGTTGCCGGTCTCGGCTCCGATCAGGCGGACCTCTTCGACAAAGCCCGTCTCGCCATCCTTGTACTTTTCGTAGTGAGTGATGCCATCCAGGTTCACCAGCTTGCCATTGTAGTCGGGCGTCACCGTGTGCCACGCGCAGATTACATCTCCCTCCTGGATCATGCGGCCCACGTGAGGCAGGCCGTCGTCATCCAGCATTCCCTGGTATGACGCACTCACGTAGCTGTGAGGCGCGAAGCCAAAAGCCTTGGTGACACTCTTGGTGGCCTTTGTTCGCGAGTCATCCTTGAGCGAGATCTTCTTGGTCTTGTAGATGGTACCATGTCCAAAGCCACGCTCATGGGCGCTCTTGTTGAGAATCATGGCGTCGTCCATGTCGTATCCAGTGTACGAGATGACAGCAACAACTGCGTTCATGCCGTTGGGGAAGTTGTCGAAACCATATGTGTTGTGAAGAGGCGCTCGCACGACGGGTGTTTGTCCAGTTTGTATGCGGTATGACTTGTTGTCGGTTCGGTAGCGAAGATTAGTGCTGGGAGTTCCCATGGTTTGCTTACCCATCTGACACTGGTACATGTTTCGAGGCGACTGGTTAAAGTCCGAGAAGGGGGTCATGTTGGCGAGAATCGACAGCATGTTGGTGGGATCAAACTCGACGTGCGTAGACTTTCCAGACTCGACCTCCTGCGGCACCACGGCGATGGACATGTAAGGCTGTTCGTAGGGACCAACCCAATCCTCCTTCTGGAGAGGGAGGTACTTGACGGGTCGCACCATTCTTGCAGGCGTGGACGTCATGTAAATGCCGGGATAGGAACCGCCATGAGACGGGGGAACGTAACCAATCTCCAGTTGCAGAGGCACGCCGTGTGTGCCCTCAACCTTCCAGTATCGGAAACAATCCGCGATTCTGACCGACTCCTTGGGAGTGCAGAAACCAAGAATCTTGCCGTCAAGCATGACCACAACATTCTCCTCGGTCGAGGCTGACGAAACGTCAACGATTCCGAGCTCGGCAGCAAGAGCCGCAATATGGGAGACGTCGACCGAATCGGTCATGATCTTGCACTTGTGCGCAAGATGGTTCAGAAGACCACAGGGCGCACCATCAGGCGTGTGGACAGGACACATGAAGCCCCATGACTCGGGGAGCAGCTTTCGCACAGCAGTTGTCTTGAGCTGGGCAAAGAAGGCACCTCGATGCACCATGCGGAAGTGACTGATGAATCGCAAAAAGTTGAGCTTTTCGGCCACAACTGTGAAACCTGCAGTCTGCTGAAGATCAAGTCCAGATGGACTCTGCATGTTACCCGTGGACAAGAAATACTCTAGGGCATTTCCGAGATTCTCGTTGGCCTTTCGGAAAATGTTATTTGGGAAATCCTTGCGGAAATCTTCAGAAGTAAAGGGAACAGTTGGGTTCCGGCGGAGGTAATCTCGCAGGGATGCGCGGACGTTAACGCTCAGGAACTCATCGAGACGCTCCTTGAGGATTTGACCATACAAGAAACCTCCCAGCAGAATCTCCTGGTTCTGAACAGCATCGGGGTTGTCGACAGCGCACTCGCCAGCGACAAGGGCATAGAGCTTGCGGATCATGAAGAGAAGAAGCTTGAACTTCTCATTGTCCTGCTCCTCCGTCACGTCGACGTTTCCGAGATGGACCAGGACAATTCTTCGGAGGAATTCGGTACCAACGTCGAGGTTGGACATGGTGTCAGGGACTCCAAGCACAACCCGGAACTTTTCACCCAGGTACGCCCTCGTCTCCGACTTGCTGTAAAGGTTGTAGGACTTGTACGTCCGCAAAAGCAACTCGATTCGGTCCGTAAGGAAGGTGTTTTCGGTCGATTTTGATCCAACAGGGCCAACCAGACCCTCAAAGATCTCGCGGTCGTTGGTCTCGACAAGCGCCTTGAGGATCATCATGACCGGAATAAGATACTCGTTCTTGCGCCATGAGAAACGGAAAGTCATGTTTCCATCGTTGAGGTAGTGGAGAACGTTGGTCTGGGACGTCTCGTCGGGTCGAACTGCGCGGAGAATGATACCGTAGGGGGTGTAGCCGGGGCCACGGTTCTGGAAACTAGGTCGGTTGATGGCCATGGGGAAGTTTCTCTTGTTCAATTGCAGCATTCGAATGATCTTTTCAATACCGTTGACGATAAAGTAGCCACCCAGTTCCTCGGACTCTTCTTTTCGCTCAACGAGAAGAGCAGGCGAGTTGCCCTCAAGATGGCATCGGTTGGACTGAGAAAGCATTAACAAGGCGGACTTGGGGCGCAAGACCGGGCAATCAAACCTTGATCATGATGGGGACTTGGCCAAACTCGCGGACGAATTCAATGGGATCGCCACCATTGATGCGATATTCGAGGGTAGCCGAGAGCCTTCCTCGATATGTTACGTGACGCTCTCTGCACTCGGCGGGAAAGATTTGTCGGTTCCGGGCCATCTTGTTAGAAGGCGGAACCTGGGGTTTCTGGAGGAAGACATCCTTGTATCGAATGGTCAAGCGGTTCTTGCCTTGAGGTCCAGCCCGCTCGTCACCGTCAAGAAAGGTCTTGGTGCCAATGTCGGCCAGACCATGCGTGAGCAAGCCGGGCTTGCCATCGTCGCGGAAGAGTCCATTGAAGGACTCAATATGGGGATTGATGGCTAATTGAAGAGCGGGATACGCAGTATGATCCTTGGGAGGGTTTCGGAAGAGGTTCTCTCGGCGGAGAGTGTGGTACTCGTGGTCCCATTCGGTGTTGGTGGCTGAGGGCGCCATGGTGAATCGGTGAAGTCGGATTCAAGGCTTTTGTATGTTTGGGCGTTTGCGACGGTCACTTCGGCCGCTGAGGAGGATAACCTCAGGGATGGAGTGGATGCAGATCAATCGCAATTATCAGCCGCCTGCAAAGTCTTGTCTAACACGAGTAATCGCGAAGAGTGGTAGACATTCGCGATCAGGCGGCTCGCAGAGGAATTGGAGGCTGTCGCAGACAAGCAGAAAAAAAAGGCGACCTAAGAAACGACGGAAAAAAAATTGCCGATAAGCAATCGGAGATAAGATACGTTATCGATTAAGGTGGGGTGAATGTGTAAGCTCGAGCGAATGAGGGGCAGCTCCATCTTGCAGGCCACATGAAGTGTCTCCAAGCAACTCAGTCGTCTATCAAACAACCCGGCTCTAACAGCTTGGGCACTTGTTAGATGAGGCAGTGAAACCATCTGAAGATACCATTCGGATCTTCTCTTAATGTCACACCTCGTCAAGTTGCAGGCTAAGTAAGAGGAGAGTTGGCCTATGTTTCTGCAGGTGTAGCACGACAGGAATAATCCGATAATTTGATAAGAGGAAGAACTCGTCTGATAGCTTGCGGCACAAGGCTCATGATGCGTCGTTCGGGAGAGAAAGAAGCTGTTTCGGATATTAACGAGGCAATGCTGGATGATGACGACGAGTTCATCTGACCATCCAAGTCACGAGGCCTCCAGCGCAAAGGTTGTTGCCGCTTGTGTTGCCTGGAATAGGTAATTCCATCGCTTCGAGAGCATTAGAAGCCTGGAGCTGGTGCCTGGGATGGACATGCAGACCTGTGGCTGACTGGAACTCGGAACCTTCAAGATGGGGGCCGTTTTCCTACATGACCGATCCAGCACCCGGCGCAACCAGCAGGCAGCGGAGGACTCCGTCTTATTGCTCAGAAGCTTGCAGCATGACCCGCAAGATGCGTGCTGGTGCAGGACACAGCAGTAACCTCCTGCGGAGCTCTCTCCAGACAGATCATTGAACGAGACAACAAGGAGATGAGGGGCTTATGCTCATGATGGATGCCAAATGAGAGCTCATTGTTACCCAGCCACCACCTCCATCATGAACAAGGCCGACAGATGCACCCACCACGGAGCCCTAGAAGCTCTAAGCAATGGTTTCCCAACCATGGCTTTGCTCGCGAATCACGAAACATGCTGAGCGTGAGGCACAAAGCCGCCGAGGCTTGATGCTTGCATGGACTGCAGCCCAACCTGCGTTGCCGGTGGTGCACAACTTCATCGCATGCGCCCCTCGTGCACGCTTCCCTTTTCGGATTATTGATGCTGAGCGAGAACAAGAGGCACGGCATCTCGTGAGGAGAGAATCGATGTGGATGCTTGTGTTAGGACTTTCTATACTGGTGTTGCAGGACATCTGACGGTGCCTGGCTTCGGTTAGGCCATTTCGCCTTACCCAGCGGTCTATGCCAATCGGAAAACGGAGTCTCATCGTTGTACCAAGAAGGAAAGCGGACGATGGAAGTCTTTTTTGTTTCTATTTCTAAACATTCGAGCTTCTTCTGTTGTTGTTGTTTTGTCTGACTTGGGGAGGTAGGTCAGGTCGAAACGGCAGGAACCCACTTGATTTGGACAGCCATACCTACCTTACCTTAACTCAAGCCTTATACCCGCAGGTCACGTCTTCCCCCTCTCCATCACTTGTCCTTCTCTCGTTCTTCTCCCTCTTACTACCGAGACCATCTTTGATGCTCACGCCAACCAGATCTTCCACTCGCGCCGTCAGACTCCTTGACTTAGTCATTTCAGATCTACATCGCCGCTGCTGCCTCGCGAAACTGCGCCTCAGGTCTGGTGATTAGATGATCCCGGCGTCATCGCTAGCAGCTTGATAACCTGGACAGTATTCGTCACCATTTACCGCAAGAGTCACTCGTCGTCAGAAGCTTTCTGTGGTCGGCTCGCCATTTAGTTCGCCCAGCTCCTCATTCTGGTGTTCACCCTCTCAAGACTCCTCGCTGTCACTGGCTGGCGACAACGCCCCAGCTACATGTGCACCTGCAACACCACGCTCAGCACATTCAGACACATATTTGACAGGCGCTTTAGGACTGCCACAGCCTCACACACATCTTGGGAACGGCTGATTCGCCAAGGTTCAAGCTGACAGAGCAAAAGGCAAACGGGATACCCGCCCGCCACGCTCAACCCCGAGACACGACCCGCTTAGATCTGGGACTAGATCGTCAAGTCCATCGTTGCCGCCTGGTACTTCACCCATCACCTCGGTTTGTTGCCGGATCCCGCCCAGCCAGGTCTCAAGGTCCCTGCAGCCAACCGCAACTGGGTTCAGCCAGAACTAAAGCAACAAGATCAAACATCCATCTCCACCTGCACTGTTCCGTTTCATTTATCCGCTTCACATTGAGCTCTAGCCGCCTTGCCAGAGACAAGGACCCTTTAAAGAGACAAAAGTCTCTTAGGCGCCCTCAGAAGCCTAGCACTGACGTCGACGCCGCTCTCCAGCCCTGGTCGATCATCGCTCTGCCCTAGCAAGCTCGACCCCGGCCAAGCGAATGAGACGTCGCAGCGTCTAACCCACACTGCTGCCACCTCTGGGCTGGACCAGGTGATTGAAGACTGGAATGTCACAACACCCCGCGACGACTGCAATCCCCAATCAGTACATTTTGCGCACCCGCGCCCAGCTCACCCCTGCTCCGGCTTCTCTTGCTTGACTGCCCTGGGCTCCTTGACCTGGAGCTCTTCTAGCGATTCCCTGCTCCCCGGCTATCGGTAGAACGAGCTGTCAGTGGTGTTTATACATTGAGCTGCGCTGAAACCCACCCAGTCTTTTGACGTCGACATCTATCTTTGCCCGACTCGACCTAGCCGTCTACCTATCTTCCACGACCTCTGTCTCTGTGCTTGTTTGGCGCTGCAACTGCGCTAAAAGCTACGCTACCTGCGCCGCCAGGCACGGGTCGTTCCCACCACTTCCCCATCCCTTGCCCCCCTCAAGGGCCCCAAAGGCTCGTGCCCGTTGGTGGCCTTTGTGGTGGCCTCTGGTGGCCTTTGGGTGCCCTTTTTGGTGCCCGTCCGGCGTCTCTCGACTGTCTCGGCCGTCATCTCGTTCCAGGTGGGGCCCTATTCGTGCCTCCGCCCAGGCGTCACCTGTGCTGTGCCAATCTACTGCTCTGTTCTGCTCCTCCGTCGTTGCACCACGAGCCTCTCCTCCTTCTACCATCCCCATCTCATCGCCGCCCAAGCCCGCCTCCGACTCCAACCCCGACGCCCAGACGCTCGCGCGCACAACTTAGCAGCAGCAGGTGCAGATGTTACTTGTCGTCTGCCACCGTCATACAAGTCGCTTTTCTTCCTGAGCCGCCGTCCCGCTCGTTGTTCATCCTTGCCCTCATCAACCGCGACCCTGCGTCTGAGCGCCAACGCCAACAAGAATTGCCTTTGCCATAAAGCACCCCGCCCGCCACAACCTTGACCGTCCTCTGCGAGATCGAGATATTTTACGTACCTTGGATAAAAACACCCGCCATCCTCGGCGGATTGCATTTTTTCTCCATTCGCCCTGCCGTAATAGCTGGCCTATCCAGCTCTTTGCTCGATCAGCACCCCCGCCTTCACCCGACCGCTTCTGCCGCGACCCGACAAGCGCCTTCGGTGCCCCGATAGTAAACATGGCAGGACTTTTTCAGAGGGTCTACAATTGGTTAATGCGCATGTTTTGGTGAGTAGCCGTGTCCCATGAGCCGCTTGCTGGGCGATATGCTGCCACCTGGCTCTTCTGCCTCGTGCTTTGCTGCCCTGCCTCGGCTCGCCGCGGATCAACTGCGCCGACATACTGACAATGATGCGAAGGGCGATGGAGATGGAGGTGACCATGGTAGGCTTGCAAAATGCTGGCAAGACATCGTTATTGAGGGTCCTCGCTGTAAGTGTCTCCCATATCGTTCCATGCTCTGCCGCTTGACCGCCTCTGGCTGACCCTGGTGATGAATAGGGAGGAGAGTTCACTCTTGAGTAAGCGCATCCCCAAGCTCATGTCATCCCCTTCCTCCTAACCCGGATGGACCGTTCCGTCGATTTCCCATTGGCAGGGACGTAGTGCTAACCTCGGATGCCGCGCAGCTCGATTCCCACCGTCGGATTCAATATGAAAAAGGTGCAACGAGGCCATGTTACGCTGAAATGCTGGGACATTGGTGGCCAGCCTCGGTTTCGCACCATGTGGGAGAGATACTGCCGGGGCGTGAGCGCCATCGTCTTCATCGTGGACATTGCCGATATCGAGTTGATCCCCCAAGCCAAGGAAGAGCTGCACGACCTCATGGGTCGCAGGTCATTGGCCGGCATCCCACTCCTAATCCTAGGGAACAAGTCTGATCTCCCGGACAAGCTCTCGGTGGACGAGTTGATTGACGAACTGGACCTGAAGAGCATACGCGGTCGCGAGGTGTGCTGCTATGGTATCAGTGCGAAAGAAGAGACAAACCTTGACGCCGTAGTCGAGTTTCTAATGAAGTATGCCACCCGTGCATGAAGACGAGATGTCGGCATGGTGGCCGTGACACGCCTGTCTGCGGATGCAGCTCTTATTCCAGTCCGGCCTGGGAGAAGGGAGCGAGCCACTCGGACCTGGGTTCCTGGGTACGGGATGACTATGAGGAAGAAGTCCATGGCTGCCTGCCTCCGGGGCGTCAAGATTGAGGAGAAGAACGAAGGCCGGCGAAGCGAAGGGGTGAACGAACGGTAAACATATATAAACTTCCTCTCTCACGAGCTCATGACTTTTCCAGATATCTGTCAGCCCATGAGCGGTTGTTTCACAATCATGTCGAAGGCTTCTTCGCTGGTTTCTTGTTGTTATTATTCCGGGTATGCAAGACCCTTTTTTTCTTTGTTGATGGAGCATGAGCTGGCATGGGTGAGAAAATTCAGCACTGGCTAGAATGGCGGAGAGGGCATTCTCCGAGGAATACGGGTTCTGTGCACGAGAACTGGCGCTTGCCAGCGGGTGCAGATTTTGCGCCGAGACCATGGCTGGTGTTGTCGTTGGTGCTTCCGGAATTTCTGTTGACGACGACGACGATGATATGATTCTTGGACGTCTTGTTTCTTGGCTGGGACACAAATGTTTGAATAAGTAAGCACGGGCAATGATTTCGGCCACGAGCTTGTATGAGTACTCTTCAAGCGGCCGAGGAAACGGCTGATGACTGAATGATGATGTCGCTATGAAATTGCTTGGTGAGGATTTGGCACAATAACCAGCGGAAGAAGCGTGGGTTGATAGACAGGGAATTGAATGAAGATGCAGCTTCAAGATGTAACCGGAATGTCTGAAGCATTCGCAGATGTTTGCCGTTGGTAAACAGGCCAAGATCCATTGAAATGAAGAGAAATTGGGTCCGACTGGGCCTTCCTGGGGATTTGAACCGGTAAAAACTGTTAGAGTGAGTGAGCCGGATGGCATGGGTCGAGTTCCATGGTCCTGGTGAGGCGGAGGAGGATGGTACAGTCCAGGTGACGATGACAGGGGTGTAAATGTTGGTGTAGACGGATTCCAGACGGGGGAGAGGTTTTTTTGAGCCGTTCAAAGGGACAGGAGCGAAGCTGCGAGGGGAACAGAGAGATCAAGATGAAGAACAAGCATCGAAGCAAGCGACAAGTGAAGTTGAAGGGACGAGAGGGGAGAGAGGAGAGGAGAGGGGGGTTGTTGAGGGAAACTCTGCTCTGGCACTTCTGGGGAGTCTGGGATGGAGGCTACACACGGACCACTTGATGCGTTGGCCAACTCATCGCTGCAGTTGACAAGCGCCGCACGCCGCCTTCTGGCAGGCGACCAGCCAGACACCAGCCAGACAGAAGGGAGGCCAGCAAGAGAGAGGCCCTGCTTGCCCTGCCTGCCCTGCCCTGTCAGTCAATCAATCCGATGATGGATCCCGTCCCCCCGCTCCCTGTTCCGCGCACCCACATACATACCTACATACAGACACACGCGCCCGGCCGAGCGAAACGAACTGGTGTGTCTGGATGCAGCAGTGAGTGCAGTTGCAGGTCGAGGGGAGGGGGGGGGGGGTCAAGTATCGTGGGTGTTTCTGACTGGGTGCTGGTGTTTTCTTGTCCGGCCAAGTGCTTCCGATGGACGGGGCTTGGTTTTCTTTTTTGAGGAGGACTCCATTGGCCTTTGGCTGGGAGTCGTTGTTGAACACAATGGATGTCTTTCAAGTTCTTGATCTGATGTTTCGGTATTAACAGACCCCGAGGGGTTGCACTCGGTCTCTCGTGATCAAACTGCCCTCGGAGGCTCCGATTGAACGGGGACGGCGGTGAACGGACGGAGGCGGAGCGGCAGGGCTGTCGGGACGGGGCGGGGCCTAGGCGAGGGTAACATGACGACGACGAGGAAAAGCAAGTAAAACACGAGACTTGCAAAAGAAAAGAGAGAGAGAGAAAAAAATAATAAGAAAAGAAGAGAAAGAAGGTAATAATGGAAAGGAAAAGGAACACGAGGGGAAAAAAAGGGATAGAAATGCTATTTCCTTAACCCAACCCCTGGGAGATGAGCTGGAATTCACAGTCGACGAGAAAAAGGTGGATTTGGCCTTTTCATTGGAGCGCGGCCGGCGATTGTCAGCGAATCGTACCTCTTGCGCTAGACGGATGGCTTTTTTTTTTTTTTTTACAGGAGATGGGGCCCTTTTTTTTCTCCTCTCTCTCTCTTCCCTGGCGCGGCTGGTTTGCCGAGGAACCCCCTCGTTTCTTTCGATTCATTCTTCGAGCTTCTCATTGGGGGGAAACATTCAGTTGTCTCTGATGGGTGGCCAGTGAGAACCTGAAGATGGGATGTGACTGGCAAACGTGCTGCAATTGGTGTTTCTTCTGGTTAAAACTTGAAGATGCCAAGATAGAGAGGATGCCAAGTTTCAAGAATGACTGGTGAATTGTTCAGGCAGAGAGTCTTGTCGTTGTCATTGCTCACGTGCTGCGGCACATTCCATCCCTTTCTTTACAAGAATACCCTCAGACACGCCGGATCCGGCGAACCCTTAGGGCAAAAGATGCCCGTCTTGGCGGAATGGAGCTTCCCGTTGGCCACGAACCTTTGCGTGGACTCTGTCAGATCATGCCAAGCTCAGGGGGGTGTTTGTTAGTGTATGTATATCGGGACGAACGGGTTGGGACAAATTGCTTGAGAGATGGAAAACCGAGGGTATTATTATATCCTAAAACTCCTGGACGATATAGTATAGACACAACGCGAAACCTTCATCCAAAAACGTACATAACATCATGAGAAACTTTCATCTCATCATGGATAGTCAGTAAACCCCGCCGTCTTACCATCCCTATTCAGCATATACCGAAACCTCTCCTTATCTTCGAGGAGACACCTCGGGAGATCGACATTGTTCTCAATGCGTCGAAACTTGTCCACCTTGCGCCCCCAGAGATCGACACCTTGACGCACGGCGGCGGCGATACGGTCCCGGTTGCGGAACGACTCGTGGTTCATCCACTCGTGTGAGAAGCTTGCCATCTTGTTGAGGAACTGGTCCACGGTTGCGAAGCAGGAGCTGCAGTGCCAGCCCGCGTTGGCTAGTACGCCCTTTTCCAGATCTCGTAGAAAAGGGACACCTGCGTCACCGGTGCGTAGGTTGCCTGGGAGGATGGTGCCGTGCATCCCGCCGTAGTATGTCGCCTGGGGAAAGGGCCACTCGGGACCTTCATGGAGGAACTGGAACGAGTAGTAGTAAAACTTGGAAGCCAGCGTGAGGCGCCGGGGGAAGTTGCACGTGCGAAGGACGAGGAGCGTTGCGGGCCGAGGGATCTCATCGACATCGGCTACGAGGAGCACATCACCGTCGACAGGAGTTTGAGGACCTGAGAGCTTGGGAAAGACCTGCTCAAACATGGCGTTGCGCTGAAGGTCTTCGCGATCCCAATGACGAATCGGCTTAAAGTCTTTCGGGTACTCCAGTTCGTGGTAGATCATCTTGTCGTGGTACGGCTTGAAGCGCTCCCAGTTATTCCGAATAGTGAGGTTCTTGGGACCGCCCTGAAACGTCAACGGCGCTTCAACAATGACAAAGTAGTCGACATGGTCGTAGAGTGTCTTGAGTCGAATCTCAAGAAAGTCAAGCTCCGTGTTGACCATGAAGAGGTCGTAGATCTTGCGGCGGCCGCCAGGGGCATCAGCGCGGGGACGAAACACGGAGTATCCATGCGCGGCGCATAGGCTCTTAGCAGCATCCGAAGCATAGTACTCGTGGTGAGGGCGCGATGAAAAGTCGAGGCGCGGGAGGGTCAGAGAGACGCTTATGTCGGCGTCTGTGATGCGGTGGACATGTGAGCGGTCCAAGAGGGGTTGCTTTGCGAGAAGCCATACAAGACAAATGAAGGGTATCAAGAATAAGAAGCCAGATGGACGATAGAAAGCAGCCATGATGGCAACATTTGCCTGTAGCAGAAACGAGTGACGGTAAGAAAGAGAGAGTAAGTTTTTCGTATCAGTCCATCATGCGCTCGAGGAGAAGAAAGGCGCAGCGCATAAGCAAGGATCCTACGGAAGAAGATCGTAACCTTCTACAGTCAGCACCTAGTCAGGCACACAACAATGCTTTATACGAATGGTGCTCACTAGGGGCGGCCGCCGCCTCTTTGCTTGCAAAAAGGTGTGCATGTGGCACTGCAGGTTTGATGAGCTTGTCCGACGGCCATTGGCTGGAGATTACGGCTTGGTTCCTGGACGGACAAAAAGACGCCTGCAATTTAAAGGAGTCGACGCCTTTTTTAATTTCCTCACTCACAATGTCGAGTCTTGTGCCAGTTTTTGGGTCGGTAGATAAGTGCCGTTGCTGGTGGGTATATTCGTATACGGGGTGCTTGGCAAGAGAACAGGCCATCTCTTGCGGGGAGAGGGATTATGTCCCATGGATGCTAATCCTGTTGGATTTTGTTTCAAGATTCACAGCCTCATTGCGCCAGAGACAGTGGCGTAGCTGACATTTGGACTCGAGTTGTAGGGCTGAGTCGAATTGGAGAATGCATGTCTCATAACAACCCGCCAAGCCCGCTGAATTGGCTAAGCCAAGGGTATTTAAACCCCTGCTTTTGTTTACGCTGGCTTGGATTGGCCCCTCCGTAGAATAGATACGGAGTTCCGTGCCGTGAGTCCTGTATGATCTTGAAACGTTTTCAACAAGGGGGCCGGCTAACTCTCCCGAGAGCTGACGGGGGTAAATAGCGCTTACCAGCTATGGCATACACACAGCTGAACAAACGGTTGTGAATAACCTCATCGAGGACATTGAGGAGCATACAGTAACCAAGCACGGCATCAATCGTTATCGCGCCTTCTACAGGCGCGCCCTTTGACATGCACAATTGCGGGGGATCCCCCCGTTGCCGGAGCCGAGATGGGGTGGGTATCGGCTCTATCGACGGCTGCCAACGGCCAAGACGACTCGGTGTTCCCCTCAAAATCTCCGTGTCCGGAGGTACCTAGTGTAGTCATTCTCCGCGGTGCGTTATCCGACACGTTAAACTCATCATGCGGCCTTCATCTCGACTCGTTTCATCTTGTCTTTCTCGTTATAACGCATCCTCATCGACGATACGATTCTCGGCAATTACCTCCAACTTGACCCGCTCTGTAGCATCCCCGCATCGTTTCTTTGCCTCATCTTCAGTAGCCATGGGAGACTCATTTGCAACTTCGGAAAAGACACACAATGCCTGGATTGGCGCAAAAGGCCCAGCTGCCTTTGACCTGCGAAGTACACACCATTCATCTCATGTTTTCAGGTTCCCATTGACACCCGATAGGTGATGTGGTGACGACTCCCACTCCAGCTATGCTGCAGGCTATCCAGTCATGCTCTCTCCTCGACGATGTCTTTCAGGAGGACCCTGCTACGAATGATCTCGAGGCATATATTGCTGGACGAACTGGCAAGGAAGCTGGTCTGTTTGTACTCTCGGGAACCATGGGCAACCAACTCGCCTTGAGATCACTCCTCACGCAGCCTCCTCACTCTGTGATTTGCGACTACCGTGCTCACATCTTTACCTCTGAGGCCGGCGGGTTCGTACTTCCCGAGACTCACCTGGACTTGTTGATTGACAATTGATAGCACATCGGCTCTCACAGGCGCTCAGATTCAGCCCATCGTGCCTAAGAATGGAAAGTACATGACTCTTGAGGAGATCATGGCCAACGCTGTGCTGGATGACGACGTCCACGGCTGCCCTACACGAGTTATCAGCCTCGAAAACACCCTCCACGGCATGGTTATCCCCCTCAGCGAGGTGAAGCGCATCTCCGAGTTTGCTAAGGAGCACGGTATCAAACTGCACTTGGATGGTGCTCGTCTTTGGGAGGCTGTCGTCTCTGGGGCTGGGTCCTTGCCCGAGTATTGCTCCTACTTTGACACTGTTACTCTTTGCCTGTCCAAAGGTCTCGGTGCACCTGTTGGAAGTGTCCTTGTGGGCTCCAAGGCCACGATTAAGCACGCCCGATGGACTCGCAAGTCTATCGGTGGTGGTCTTCGTCAGTCTGGCGTCGTGACTTCAGCTGGTCGTGTAGCCGTTGAGCAGACATTTGGCGCATCTCCTAACGGCGAAGATGGACCCCTCAAGGCCTCTCACGAGACAGCCCGCAAGGTCGACGCTCTCTGGGCAAGCCTGGGCGGCAAAGTCGAGGAACCAACTGAGACCAACATGGTGTGGCTAGACCTCAAGGCCGTCGGTTGCAGCGAGAAGCGATTCATCGAAATCGGCAAGGAGGAGGGACTCAAGTTCATGTGCAACCGACTAGTAACTCACTATCAGGTTGCCCAGAACGAGGAAGAGGTGCTGAAGCGATTGAGGGCGGTGTTTGATAAGGTTCTCGCTGAGAAGGAGGATCTGAGTTCGAAGCCGCAGGTTGGAAAGGGGAGCGTTTATGTACCCCAATAGTCGTATTCTAGTTTATAGAGGGAATAGGCGAGACTGTACATTGAGTCGGCTACTCAAAGTAGCCGACTTGACCTTGAAGAGACAGAAGCATACATGTGGATGAACTTGGCCTTGCCTGTGATCGGCCGTGTGCGCCGGTTGAGGAGGCTTGTCAGGTACCCCAACCCAGACTGGGGTGGCTCACCCTCAGGGCTTAGCGCCGCCGGGCGGAGTAAATCCCCATCCCTACCTCTACCTAACTGTCTCGGTACTGAGGTGGTCGGGCTATCATCCAACCTCTGTCATCTCATCAAATGGTCGTATTACCTTTCTTATTCTGTCGTCGCTGATCCTCTTGCTTCCTCCTTTGGTTTTTCGATTCTTTACTCTGGAAAGGGCTCGGTTCGGCAACATGGAGACGCCACGTGCTGTACTGCTCCCTGAAGGCGTGGAAGACAACGACGAAAGTTTGGTCGAGTTCGTCATGAAAGAAGTTTGCTCCCCTCGAAATGATACCTCCCCAAAATTCCAGCTTGCTGACCTGGGATCTTTGCAAGTTCGGCACAAGCTTCTCGATAACTCAAAGCGACGACAATGGCTTCGAAATCGTCCAGGGCCGCATCTACGACTCCCATCCGACCGACCGCATCATTATTTTCAGACCTCACAAGGGAACGCCGAAGTTCGGATGCATACGAGTATTACGAAGTGAAACGGCTAACCAAGGTGAGGCCACAAAGGAAAAGAAAGGCCCTGTGTGGGACGTGGTGAGGGCCGTGGGCTCGTACGTTGGGCTCGTACCCGCTGGATGCCCCTTCGAAGCCATGTTGGTCCAAGTCAGATTCATTGCGAAACGCTAGCAAACGGAACACCAGAATCAAGCCATGATGCTGCGAACCCACCCTCGAATATATATTGAAGCGTGGCTCGCCTCGATACGCTGAAGAAGACAAACCCCGGAAGCTCGTCAGTGGGAACGCCCAACGTGATGGGCGGGAGCTCGTCACAACCCCCCGCCGGGCGCAGTCCCAGCAAATCTGGCAATCTGTCTTCCGGCACATCGTAACTCAACGGCACTATGGGCTCTAGGTACCCTTTTTGTTAGCCGGTTGACCATCTTTTCAAACAAGCTGGGCTGGGACTCTGTCCACCTACCGGCAGGAGCGTTGTTCACTGGAGGCGCTTCCTCTAGATATGTGCTTCCTAAGTGCATGTCCGGTACGGCCAAGATGGTCTGGCTCGCGAGCAAGTGGCTTTCTCCACTGTGCGGTTCCGGATGTACCGATAAATCGGGGCCTTGGAGATCTTGGTTGTCATCGAGCTTTCGCTTCTTGGAGGGATGATGGCTGGGCTGCTTGCGTGCGAGGTCCTCGACCTCTGTACGACTTAGCAATCTTCTCCGTCGTGGCATGAATTCATGTTTCCAGCTCACCATGGACGAAATCATGATACGACTCGATGCCGCAAAAGGGCTCTTCCTTACCCAGATCACGGATGATGTCCTGAGCATTCGATGCTATCTCTGCGATAGGCTCGCTGCCGACTGCTGCCTCGGTCATTTGCTTGGTAACGTCATTGAATACAAGCTGGTCCATCTCCTCCCACAAGCTCGACGGCAAGGAGACACCCCACGCCAGGATAGCGCCCGCTCCCAAGCTGCGGAGTGCTAGGCCTTTCTGCGCCTTTCTCGCCTTCCTCGCTTTGAGCGAGGGTGAATCGACAACTGAGGATGAATGCCCTTGGTAGATGGCCGCTAGGTTTCTCCTGAGGATCGACCATTTCACCTTGCCTTGAGCCGCAGTTCGGATAGCGGATTGTGCCCGCGACATGTGCTCATCGGATTTTTGGAAAATCTCCGGTGTCCATGCTGAGGTGCAAGAGATGGACTTGTCGCGAAGGCATTGCGCATGTTCAAGCATACTAGTTGCCAACTCATGAAGTTGTGTGACCTCCTGATCGGAGGGTCGAAGTCGGGGATTCTGCAACCCTGGTCCGATGGCTTCTATACCGGCGACGATTGACCTCATGTCATCGAGGATGTCCTCGAGGGTAGCCATGGGCAATGTGATGCCAGAGCCTGGAGGACAGTGGCACGCGAGGGAGCTTGGTAGCGTCACTCGGCTCCGGCGTCGTGCTGGGTGCTGGTGGTTGGAGCTGTGGGAGTGGAAGAAGAGCCTGCACTCACTTCGATGGCACGGCCATGTACTACTCTACAGCTTCTAACTTGGGCGTCTCGGGGTAGATATACACCAATGCTCCCACATTTCAAGTCTTACTCGCACACGATAGTTAAGCGCTCGAACACATGCGGTTGCCTCGTTGTTTCCCCCAGCCATTCCAATTTGGGAGACGGGTGGGGAGCCCAGACTTCAGCCCAAGTTCGACGACAGGGATTATCTAGGCAGGCTGTCCGGAGTTTTTAAGATGTGGATCTTTCTCTGCAGGATGTGTGCTTCTTGTATTGTTAAGGATGTGATTGTTGGTTGTCTCGCCCAGGGCATGTTTGTGTTTGATTGGGAGAGAGAGGGATTGATACTGCGGCAGCCTCACCATTCTACCAAAATATACTCCGCCGTCCTTGGTTTGTAGGTCCCCTGCCGCCAACCATAGCCACGAGCGTAAATAATGTCTGCGAGGTCGACCAATACTCCGCTCTTCCAGTTCCGAGTCGCTGGCGACAGGTTATGGCTAAACCCGGTGAGCCAACAGAACCGGTCCACTTCCTCGACCACAGCCTCATCGTTCTCCCCCTCCTCGACGTACTCGTAAACAATAGCCGTGTACTCTTTACTAGATGATATGGACCTCTGGATCTTTGAGACGGTGCGAGGGTGCGCCCTCAATTCGAATGGTAGATTCTTGAATACCTCACCGCTGAACTTCAGCCACCCATAGCACCTTCTGAAGCGAGGCATAGAAGTAACCTCCACCGTCTCAAGGTCTTCAGGACAAGACATCAAACGGGCCTCGTCGGAGAAGGCGTAGAGGTTATACCGTGCTTCCTGCTTGCTTTTAGGGTTAGCAAGGACCCGGATCGGCTTCGACTCTACAGCAGCCTGCGCAATGGCTGCCTCTATCATTTGGAAGACAGCAGCGTTCTGGCATTCTCGCTGGGCAGCGTAGTAGTGACGGAAGTCTGGGGGCTCCGTATCCCAGAACTAAGAGAGAATAAGCATGACTTGACAGTAGTCTTCGTTGTCAGCACTCACCACCTTCAAAGCAAATGGACCCGTCTCGCCGAACCAGACCTTCCAAACATATCCATCGAGTCCACCGCCGAGCTTGCGCTCCCAAATTATCGTGTCAAAGTCAAAGGTGCACCGTCGCAGATGCGGCCGCTTGAAGTCTTGCTCTGTGCATGATGGAGGACCATCCATGGGCTTGTCATCGAGGAACGGCACCTGCATGGCTCGTTCCCATACAAGATCGGGCATCGGGCCCAGCTGTTGTGCCTGCCGAAGTCTTGATGCGCGATTCATAGTAATTGAGGAGAGGCGATGGTTGAAGAGCTCAAAGGGAGAAGAGAAGATGTAAAGGCGTGAAAGTCAGGTTGCTCGCTCGGTGGGGCTCGGTACCTGCCTACCTATTTGAATAAGTAGCTCCCGTCCAAAGAAGCCCCGAACCTATGTACTTGTATCTCCAGAAAGCAAACAATACAGGGAGTATGTGCACTTTACTGTTTGATACGCATTTTAGGTAGATTATAGCTTCGTATAAATAGGTAGTTTAAAGAGATTAAAAAAAGATATAATAAGGTTATAATAAAATTAAAGTAAAAATAATAATATTATAAAATATTTTTTCTTATTTTATAATAGAAGTTTATAAGATTAATAAAACTTATTAAATATAGTATTACTATTATAATAGCTTTCCCCAAGTACTAAAAGGAGTGAACAGGAGAGGGCAAAAGAAACTCGAGAAGCCTTTCATTCGCCCTCCACTACTTCTCCTCCAACCCGAACGGACCTACAGCATAAGTTATGCACCTATTGCATTGTTCTTCAATCCGGATGGCCCAAAAGGCACAGTAGATTTCCGTCTATTCATGGCTTGCCTCGAATCGGATGGCTCATCAAAGTTCGATAGCAGGGGGGAGATATGCATGATATTCGAACTATGAGCGTTGGACAGCGCCTAGCCCACCAACGCGTTTCTGGCGACCACACACAAGACGCTCAACAAATGAGGCAACCCCAATGTCGGAATCTTCGTCACTTCAAGGGAAGATGGAGAAATTCCGAAATTCGAATTCACCCTGGCAATACCTAGGCTCGTTCCAACTGGGAGAAGAGCCTTCCGCGTCCTCGGCGAGTTGCAAAAATGCCACGCAGGGTTGAAGAGAAGATTTGGAGATATAAACTGGCATATCTTCTCCCGTTAGAAACCAGTAGGTCTGGATAGATCCCCGGATATCCAAGAAGCACATTATCTTATTACCCATTCTTTCACTTAACTTCCATCTGGCTAAAGATGCCGACTCTTCTTCACGTGCTCACGAGGTCGAACGTCAATGTCGACAACAGCCTCGTCCCCAGAGGTGGAAATTCGACTGTCGACACGGATGTTCAGGCGCCTGAGTCCTGGCGGCCGTGGCAAGGATTCGATTATGCCACCTTGACGACAATTTTCCGGCGTGAGCTCGACAAGGAGTATGTGGGTGCAGCAAAGCCTGAGCCGCTGCCACAGGACCTGTGTCTTTTCAACGAGGAGACTCTCGATGATGTTTTGAGGAGGTTTGAAATCCCCATTGTGAACTATTCCTTGAATAGGCGGGACGGGGTGCCGCATTTTGGCCGAGGGAGCCGGTGCGGAACGACTTACAAGCCGGACTGGTCTGTCATCTCCCCTCTTCGTCTGAGCCAGAACCAATCCTTTGTCAACGTCCTTCCTGGAGACACCAAGCTCAGCAAGAAATGGTGGCCTACAATGGGAAGAGAGGGCGGCACCCGTTGGGCTGAGTGGCAGAAGGTCATCACCCAGATCGTCACCTACATGGCTGACAACAACTCCCGATATGGCTTTATACTATCAGACGAGTGCCTTGTTGCCCTCAGGCTCACTCGTAAGCGTTCCCCTGATACGTTGTTTACCGGGCGTGCCCCTCGGGCGACTGCCGGCCACGTCAGGTATGCATCTGACGCCTCGATGGAGGACGGTTCTGTATATGAGGATACCAACCCACTCCACTGGCATTACGAAGACCCGGAGTACGTCACCGTTCCATGGGGGGCACATGGATCGAATCGGCTTACAACCAAGTTGACGCTCTGGTTCCTGGCTGTGATGGCTACCAACGGCGACAAATTCCTCGACTATTCATATCCAGACCTGGATAGCTGGCGCAGCACCGAAGACGGCTACTACATCCATAATACGTCAGGCGCGAAGAAATCCAGACTTTCCAGGGGAGAGCAGATCCAGGAGCCCGATCTTGGACAAGTGACGCAGAACTGGGACGGTACCGGCGAGAACGAAGAAGAGTGGCATCGTGACGAGCCCTCCTTCAGCCAAATAAGCGATGACTTTGGCGGGGGCCAGCTTGGCAACTATGGTGACGAGGAAGAGGAAGAAGAAGGGGCAGAGGCCAGTGGTGGTGAAGATGACGACGACGAAGCCGAAGATGACGAAGATGGCGAGGAAGAAGAGGAAGGAGACTCCTCTCGCCCCCAAAAGAAGTCCATTGAGGTGAAAATCCAGAAGTCGAGATCCGGCAAGGGTCTCTACTTCTTGGATGCGAAGAATCGCAAGAAGAAGACTACGAAGAAGGAGTGGACAAAGATCGAAGGTGGCTATATGCTTCCAGGGAAGAAACACGTTTACTTCGCAAAGAAGTTTCCCTAGATGGGACTGTCATCAGATCTCGTCGAGGGTCTGAAGGTAGGTAACCAAGCTGAGTCTTCCTTAGTTTAGACAAGTCACAGACCAATCCCAACCATAGCCCTAACCAACTATGAGCCGAATCCTGAAACACTCTAACTATCGCCTTTATCTCCTAACCATTGGCCAACGATGTGCAAAGGGCGGTTAGCTAACAAGGGAGTTGGTGGGTTGGGGGCCAGCTTCCATAACAAAACGCAATAGTCACTCGTTCAAATATTCTTTCTCTATATACTGCAATTTTGCCTCTGGAATCAATCTATCAGCTGGGTGACTACTTGCTCTCGTCCGTGACATTGTCTAAAGATGGCCGGACACAACAGCCTCGGGATTTCCTGATTCTTTGAGTACCCGGGTGTAACACCTCGTACTCCTAGTAATTAACATCATCTAGGGAGGAACCGCGGCCCCGGTGGCAGCGCACGTGGACAGCGCGAAGATGTATGGCTTACGGCTATATACACTTGATGGCCATTGAGAAGTTGTTGGGGTTCTCGGCTGACATCGAACCGTTGGTACTCTGTTTATTGAGTGGCAAAGAGTCCTCTCCCAGGCTGTCACTTACATGGCCCTTGATGACTCCCGCTATGGCTTATTCACTCGGACTAATGTCTCGTTGCCCTAAGACTCACTCACAAGCCTGCCTGCAAATTACTAGACGTCCATGGATCCATCTGGAACGCATTCACAAGGAAACTCCAAGACAAATCACCTTTTCATCTCAAGCTTCAGCGCTGTCAAACACCTCGGTGTTCCAGGACACGAACCCACTGCACTGGGAATAGGATGACCCTGAGTATGTCGTCGTCCCCTAGGGTGCACATGGATAAAATCGGCTCACTACCAAATTAACACTCTGGTTCCCAGCTCTTTTGAGCGCTTCCACGCGTGTCTGATTACAAAAGAGACACAGAGATGAAGGCCCAGGCTTGACTCCTCAAACGCTTTCACTTTATGATATGAGAATTATTCAAGAAATCTTAAAATTATGAAAAGATTATCTAATAAAATGGAGAATATTAAATGATCTTTATTCATTTCATGGGTGCTCTCGGTGAAGGATATGTTGATACTGCTCGGTTAGCCCAGGCTGAGGTCCAGAACAACAAACTGACTCAATGTCGGCGTTATTACACAAATAAGGCCGACTTGGCTCTGTAAGATGGACTAATATAAATTAAAGAATAAGCTCAATTTGACCGAGTAGGATTGAGATGGGGTGGAGATGCATAGCTTGTGGTCGTCTACACGGAATAGCCATTGAGAAGTTGTTGGGACTCTCAGGTGTCGTTGAATCAAGTTCCAGAAGCAATTGTTTCACTCACTCGGGAACACCATCTTATTCCCTGCACGAGATGCCGTTCAAAACAAACGTCTGTGATGCATCTCTCATCCAAGTTTGGGACAGCCAAGACGATTTAAACAACGCCGCTGACACGTCAATGACCACGCGTCAAGCTCATGAAAGGATTCAATTCCGCACTCTAAACGAAACCGGAAATGCAGCCAGACCCTCATCAACGTCTTTTTTTCAACGCTTGAGCTGAAAAGACTCCCCTGACGTCACGGACCAATCGGTCAAAACGACGATGGTGATGTGCCGAACTGCGGGGACAAGAAAGACAAGGATTCGTAGGCAGCGTTTTTCTGCTTCCCCACGTTTGAATGTGGCGTCTGGGGTGAGGCCTTGTCTCGGCATCACGTCACTGGTCGAGACGGCCAAGCCTTGAGAGGACGGGCCGAATTCGGGGGCATGATCATGATGATCCTTGTGAGGTCAGGTATTCTTGAAGAAAGATGAGAAGACTCATCGGCCAAGCTTGGAATTGAACTGCCCTCAAGTTAAATGACAAGGCCAAGATGGTTAGGAGATGCACAATAACTTGAATGACGGAAAACAAAGCCCTTGGCAGTTTTCTTGTCAGTTTGCATGCTAGCATCTCGACGAAGCTGTTAAAAAGGTCGCCCCATGTTTCTTGGTGGAGGTGGTGCATTGTGGAGGGTGATCGTCGTCCAAGCGAACAACAGCTTCCTTTCTGGGCTGGGCAGCATGGAAAGCCTGTTCACAGCTGGGGAAAAGCAGACAGTCACTTTTTTTGGTCAAGGATACTGGGCATCATGTCATGCCGTGCTTGGCCGAGTCAGTGACTTTTTGGTAGCATCGCATATATACGCAGCTTTCGTCCCTCTGATTTTCCTTCTTTTTCTTCAAGTCAATTCACTCTTTCTTGAGGCAGATTTGTTCAAGGAAAGCTTCAGTTGACAACAATGGGTGCGGTGAGACATGTTGCGACGGCCCTGGCCGCTTCGGTCACGGCCGTGTCCGCTCTCTATGTCAATGGCTCTGTTATTGCGCCGTGCGACTCACCTATCTACTGCCACGGCGATATCCTAGAGCAGGTTGAGCTTGCGCAACCATTTAGCGACTCCAAGACCTTTGTCGACATGTAGGTTGTTGTCTCACTTCAATGGCCCACTTGCACTAACACGCTCGCAGGCCAGCCATTCGACCTCTGGAAGAGATCCAAGAGGCATTTGACAAGCTCGAAAAACCTCTGAGAAACAATTCGGAACTCGCGGACTTTCTCGATGAGAACTTTGCCGATGCTGGTGGCGAGCTTGAAGAAGTTCCCGAGGACGAGCTCGAGACGGATCCCGAGTTCCTCGACAAGATTGACGATACCGTCATCAAGGAGTTTACGGAAAAGGTCATTGACATTTGGCCTGACCTGACCCGTCGCTATAATAGCGACTCCAACAACTGTACCGAGTGTCCGAACAGTTTCATCCCCATTAACCGCACCTTTGTCGTTGCTGGTGGTCGGTTCAGAGAGCCCTACTACTGGGACTCTTACTGGATCCTCGAGGGCCTTCTCCGCACTGGTGGCTCCTTTGTCGAGATTGCAAAGAACACGATTGAAAACTTCCTAGACTTTGTGGAAGAGTATGGCTTTGTGCCCAATGGAGCTCGAATCTACTATCTCAACCGGTCCCAGCCTCCTCTGTTGGCCCAGATGGTCAAGATCTACGTCCAGCACACCAACGACACCGATATCCTCGAACGCGCCTTGCCCTTGCTAGTCAAGGAGCACGAGTTCTGGATGACCAACCGGACTGCCGAGGTCTACATTAATGACGAAACATTCCTCCTGAACCGGTATGAATACGAGATGTCCTCCCCCGTAGCATCCGGACTAACCTGAATTCTAGTTATGACGTCTCCAACACCCGTCCCCGGCCAGAATCGTACCGAGAAGACTATGTCACCGCAAATAACAAGTCCTACTACTCAGCCGAGGGAGATGTCTTTCCCGAGGAGGAGAAACTCGACGAGAAGCAAAAGGAGAAGCTGTATGGCAACCTTGCCAGCGGTGCCGAGAGCGGTTGGGACTATACATCGCGATGGATTGCTCGACCTCAGGATGCTGCGAGGGACAACTACTTCCCTCTCCGATACCTCAACACCAGGGAGATTATCCCCGTGGATCTCAACTCCATCCTGTATGGAAATGAGATTGCCATTGCTGATTTTTACGCAAACGCCGGCAACACGAGTGCCAGTGAGCAATGGCGAGAGGTAGCCGCCAACCGCAGCTACGCCATGACGACCTTTCTGTGGAACGAGACGCTCTGGAGCTACTTTGACTACAACATCACATCCCAGTCCCAGAACATCTACGTACCAGAAGACGAAGACACGGAAACCATTGAAAAGACCACCGCTCCCAAGGGCAAGCAGGTTCTCTTCAGCGTTTCCCAGTTCTACCCCTTCTGGCTGGGCGCCGCGCCCGACTACCTCATGAGAAACCCCTTTGCGGTCCTCAACGCCTACAGCCGCGTCGCCGAGTACCTCGACACCAAAGCCGGCGGCATCCCCGCGACAAACTTCCGTACCGGACAGCAGTGGGACCAACCCAACGTCTGGCCACCACTGATGCACATTCTCATGGCGGGTCTGCAGAACGTTCCTCCTACCTTTGGCATCATGGATCCTTCCTTCATCGAGCTCCGCCGTCTGGCCCTCAAGCTCGGACAGAGATACCTCGACTCGACTTTTTGCACGTGGTACGCGACGGGCGGTTCCACATCGGAGACGCCGCAGCTTCGGGGTCTCTCGGACGCCGACGAGGGCATCATGTTTGAAAAGTACGCCGACAACGCCACAAACGTCGCTGGCGGCGGCGGCGAGTACGAAGTCGTCGAGGGTTTCGGGTGGACCAACGGCGTGCTTCTCTGGGCTGTCGACACCTTTGCCAATAGGCTCGAGAGGCCTGACTGCGGTGACATCGAGGCTGCTCATGTTGAGGGTGGTGGTGGAAAGCGCAGTTTGAGTGCGGTTATGTTGCATGCTAGAGATGCGAAGAGGGTTAAGAAGTTTGGACGGAGAAAGAGGGCTACCATGAAGAGGTCGAGCCGTTCATTTTGGGGGTAGATGATGATGAATGAGTGTATATATTTTGACATGAGACGATGACTGCATATTTCAACGAAAGACGCATCTGTTAAAGAGAATCTAGTTTGTACAATTTACTTAGGAATATCAGCGCTTTCTTGCCTAAACTATTGATACCCTCGGAACGTGGGATCCTCCGTCAATCCCGGAATCAAACACTCCGTACGGCCCCACTCCCGGGCGGAGCCCCCGGTCACGAGGACCGACACCCCCGACCCAACATCAACAAATGATTTGCCATGTTATCTAAGGAAGGAAAAAAGAAGGTAATTCAAGGCAGAATCACGTGGATCAGAAACAGCCCTACCAGCACCGCCACGCGAATGCGGCCTAAACGAGAAAGCTCTGCGACGGCTGATCGGCACTAACAGAAACCTCAGCCACTTTCGCAAGGAATACGATGAATGCGAGAGGGGAGCGTTGGATGATGCGGCATCACCATGCCGTAGCTTTGTATTTTGAGGCTTTGGATGCATTGATTATGGCTTTTTCGCTTCGCTTGTAGGAGTAT